AGAATTTCGACGTTGATCACCAAAAAATTTCGGAAAATACACTTCCCAATCGTTTAATGTGACAAATCGTTCGACTAATATTTAAAAATTAACGTTGTATAGTAGTACAAAAAATTAGGGGACATATCCAGTGACCGTTAATATGTTGTGTGTGAATTTGCAATTCACGCATGTGAAATTCAAATTAGCCAATCAGAATTTCATATTCAAACATCCCACTCCAAAATTTTAATTATTATTATAGACAAATTTCACATAGTATCAAAAGTTTTTTCAAAACAGGAAACGGAACAGAGGAAACAAGTTTTTTAAAAAAATTTCCAAAAAAAAAATTCTAAAAAAATAAAAAATGCCCCTTTGAATCATATAACCGCGGTCTCCGTTATTTATCAAGTTATAGAGGTGGAACCCTGGATTTCAAAAGACGAATCAAGAACGATAGTGGAAAATGCCATTAATGCTTCAACCAATATATACTCTCAAAATATATCGGCAACAAATAAACTTTTAAAAATTCTTTTGAAATAAGGGTCATTGGTACTGGAATGATAAATGGTGCAAATACTGTATAACTCTGAGAAAGTGATATAACAGTTTAATTGTCCTATAGCCTGTGAGTAGGGGTATAATTCTTAGAAACGCGGAAGGATGATTAAACTGTATTTACACGTAAGCCTCTATGTTGTTATTTTAATATTATACAAAGACCGTTTTGCGTGATGACCACACGATGGCAACTTTGTAACTATCTGATAGATTCGTATTGGTCAAAAATACAAATTTGTAATATGGATCATGATCTAACTCGTAGTATTTTTACACTAGTTTGATGACGCTTTCGAAAGGGATGCAGTTTACGAGATATTGGAGCAGTAAAAAAGGTATGTTTTGATTCTCGCTCTGATATTAACTAAAACTCTCAAAATATGCTAAATTTTCTTATAAAGGGCGAAGAAAGAGCTTACAGTTTAAAGGAAATCGTGACCAACTTTACGGATCTAAAATCAACGGCAAGTTTTATAGATATTTGGTTTATATTTGATTTATATTTGAGTTAACTCAAATCTCGCTTATCCAGAAAAATATCCTGGAGGGGAAATCACCTCTTTATAAACGTTTACTTAAAGATTTAGGCAATATTTCTATTTCTGGATTGTCGTGGAAGTCCCCACTTGGAAGTAAAGTCACAAAGTTAAAGAAAATTTTTTTATTTTAGAAAAGGATTAGTGACAATACGAAAGCCACCAAAATTTTATATAACGATTTTATAGTGAGTATTTACTTTTTTTTTCTAAAGGCGAACGCATTATTTAACCCAGTTAACTATAGAAGCCAGCTCGTCGGATGATGCCTAGCTCTTTCCCGTCAGTAGAGACAGGAACGGTTCGGTTCGGTTTATAAACTGCCAGTTTGGTTAGTGAACCGTACTGACCAGCGGTTTACCACCACTGTTTGAACTGTGGTTCAAACCCAAGCTTAACCGCAGTTTTATAATTTTATTGGTGATATATTTTTATAAAAATGAAAAATATTTTTTAAAATTATTTGTTCCGACAATTAAGGCTATTTTAAACACCACTACTATCTATTCTCTTCATATTTGCTTGTACTTTAAATTGTTTGCATCAAATAGCTGGAGTTCCACCTGATCTCTATATCAAGTTGTAGCACCATAATTCAATTAATTGTGATTGAAATATCTGTTAAAATCCTCCATAAGA